ACAATCTCACGACCCCCCCCCCCCCCCCCCCCCCAGTACTGTACCCCAGTGGCCAAACTGTATTCATGCTGCTAAATGGTGGAGATGTGTGACCTTTACTGCTGAGACGTTTTAGTCCCAGATGAAATTTTCTGATCTTGTTTGGACTTTTTAAAACTGAGAAACATTAAATGTAACCTTGAGCCAGCTGTGCCTCCTGAGTGCAGGTGGGTTTGGGTGCGAGATCCCGAGGTCCGCTGGGTCCAGGAGGATGTGCACGTTTATTTACTGTGTGTGTGTGTGCGTGCGTGCGTGTGTCCGTGTTTGTGTCTGTGTCCCTGTGCAGGCTGTAAACACATTCCCTGGAACGACGTGCTTTCTGCCTGCTCTCTAAGGAGACTACACCTTGCGGACTGTGGAGATGGAATGGGGGGAGGGGGAGGCAGGACCCGCCCCCCCAAAGTGGAGGCAGTGCTTATGCTGACTCAGGCACTGCTTCCCACATACGTCCCGTTTCACCCCCGTGACAAAGCCCGACTTTGCTTCCAGAGCCGAGCGGAGAGTATTAACCCATGGGACATGTGACTGCGGGGGACATGCCGACCCCCCCAGCATGCTGGCACCGCGCGACATAGCCAAACGACATGCCTCGCTCCTGGAGGGCCATGGGACTTCAGCCGAACTGTGAAAGTGGTGCCGCGCTGCACATTCAAGGCCGCGCCCGTCCGCCCGCTCGCTCTGCGCCGTCCACTTGTTCTAATTTATCACCTGGTTTAAAGAGAATCACCACCTTCAGATGTTACAGGTTTTTTTTTGTTTTCCAGTTCATCTTACTGCCTCATAACCGACAGGAAGATCAATAAACAAACAAAAGGGATTGTCTCGTTTGATTTATTTAGGATTTTTATTTTCTTAAGTGCAATAAAATGTTGGTTTTTGCTTTCCATTTCAAGCATCCAAGTCGTCTCTGGTGTCTCTGTCTGCCCATGTCGTGTGTGTTGCGTATGTGTGAACACGCACCAGGCGTGTGCCTTGCGGCGTGTTGGAGAGCTGTGCAGTGTGCCGAGTGATCTCTGTGATCTCTCGCTTCATCTTGACTCTGTCCTGCGGTCTGAGGATGGACCCCAGGAGGGGGGGGGCACTCGGGCCCTCCCAGTGATGAGCCTCAGATGCTGTCTGACGGGGCACGACGAACGCATGACGGGTTCCGTGTTAATCTGCAGAGGAGCTGCCATGTCTCTTGTGATCGCCCAGCCCAACAGTGACCGCCTCTGCCGGGGTACCTCACCGTTTATGCTGAGCCCCCGTTCCTGGGGGCCGCCTGCAGACTCCTCCACTCTCCTGTCACTCTTTCCTATCTCCCGTCGTGAGGAGCATCCGGCTTCCTGACAGGAATGTGCACTTTGATCGCCGATTATACTGACGGCGCGTCGATTTCTTATCGAACTTTGATCCCCTTTGGCAAACCTGCCGCCTTTACAGGCGAGAGAAGCCCATGACAGACGTGCTAGTTTTGCAAAAATAAAAAGGAATCGGTGAATGCGTGTCTTATCGGCAAAGTCTGTCCTTAAGGCGGTAGATAACTGGCTCTGGGCCGTTCGCTCAGATCGTCACGCTTTCCTTAGATGGGAGTGTTTGAGAACTCGTACGCGTGGTAATGAGCTTCATAAACTTCAGCGTGAAGTAGGACACCTCCCACGTTTAATGCGCTGCTGGTGGAAATATAATGCAAGACCGAGTCATTATGCTGAAAGCTTATATTGGCGCTAGTCGGCCCCATTGCCGCAGAGAGGGCCAGCGGCATGCGCTGGGGTTTGCTCCCGGAGCACTGGGGGGAGGGCTTGCTTGCTCTATTGCATCGCAGCATGCGACCGCGTGCCAGCCAACACAAGGCAGTCATACAAGCAGATCTCGCGGGGATCTCCGTCTCGCGCCGCACGGCGTCCCCAGCGGTTGGCTGTCTGACGGGACAGGAGTGCATGAGGCGTCTCATTTCACATCCGTCAGGCACTTGCGGGGGTGAGGAAATGGAAAGGCTACCAAGGGCACCGGGCTGGGCCTCTGTTCTAAGAGCCGTCTCTCTCCTAAACCCACATAATCCAGCCCTGCCTGGTTTGTTCTGGGTGTATAAGATGAAAACTTTATTGATCCCCCAGGGGGAAATCCTTTTGCGTACAGCAGTGAGGTGCGAAAAGTGCAGACAAGAAAACGTAGTGCGAGGTGGGACGCATCATTCTCACAGATGAGCCCCTCAATCGATCACTAGTGGCATAAACAAGTCATCACTAGTGCACGTTTAAATCACACAGATCCCATTTCTAATGTTTATGTGAAAAACTCATTTTGAACTGAATGCTAGGTTGGCTTTCAAAGGGCTTTTTCTCCCTGCTTTCTGTTACTACATCAGACAAATGTTAGATGCAGTGGAGCATTATGGGTAAGAAATCAATCTGGGAGAATCTATAGCATGCTGATGGATGGTGTTGGCTGATTCTGAGCAGCCGTCTGTGCTGCCAGCCCTGCGTCACCGTGACCTTGTCCTCAGCCTCCAGGCTGCATCCTTTCACGCGCCGCTTAATTACCGCGCTACGGCCGACCAGAGCGCCTCTCAAAGGCCGTCTGCATGGCTGCAAATTAGAGCCTTTTAAAATGCCTCCCAGCACGATTGCAGTGTGCTCCTCAGGCGAGGACTGCATGCAGCACCTGATGGATGGCTCCGGAAGAGAATGTGAGTCCCGGTCTGATCGGGCCCGGCGGAGGGGTCAGTCTCATTCGTATTCCCCGGTGGAGCCTGCCGCTTCCCACAGGGACTCCGAATGCCAGGCGTGGCTAATCACCGGAGCAAAGCCGCCTCCTGCCCCGGCCCCGGTCCAACGAGACAAAGATGATTGAAAGAGGCAGGCTGGGGCGCTGCTGGCACGCACCCGCGGGCATCCCGACGGCCACAATGCCAGGCTGACGTAACAGGGGGAGAGAGTGCCAAGGCCGCAGGCCTGGGTCACGCTGCCCTAGTTTGGAATAATCCCATAGGGGCGCCCCGTGGGGGCGGGCCAGCCAGGAATAAAGGGTTTGAGGGCTTGAGAGGCACATGCCCCCCCTCCCCGGGGTGGGAATAGACCTCACTGGCCAGTGCCTGTCTTCCCCTGACGTGCCCTTTGTTTTTCTGGCGGGGGGTGGGGGGCTGTTTACAGGGCTGTGTGTGGAGACACTCATTCATTCATCCTACTGTCCTCTGTCCCGTTTTTGGCTGCCGTCCGCTTCTCACGTACAAACGGACCTTTGAGTCCGTCTGCGCGAGACGTTTAGGTCGCCGTCGCCGTGGCAGTGGCCAGGCCCGCCGTGTGCCGTGCCGAGGCCTAAGGCAAGTCGCTACAGGGATGTGGTGAAAAGCTGGATTGTGCGCGAATGTAAATAAAACATCCTCCACATGGCCCCGTCGTCGCCGAGCCCAGCTCAGCCTCATAGCTCCGGCTCAGCCTCATAGCGCCGGCTCCCCCCTCTTCTCCTAGGCCCTGGGTCGATGGCTCCCCCCTCGTCTTGTTGGCCCTGGGGTGGTGGCTCCCCCCTCTTCTCCTCAACCCTGGGCCAGCGGTTTCCTCCTCGTCTCCCCCCTCATCTCCTCCGTCTCCTAGGCCCTGGGGCTACGGCTCCCCCCTCGAATCCTCGGTCTCCCCTTTATTTGGATAATCTGCCCAAGTTTGCATCTTGAGGTTCTGTGGGGTCACGCCGTGTCACACAGGGGTCTCGGACACTGCGGGCCATGTGCTGACGCTGACACTGCTTTGTACAGATTATATCATTTATGCTAATTATTTTCTCCCATGTGCCAAATAGCTTGAACGCATCTTTTCATTTTTATTTATACTGGTATCATGCATTTTCCAGTGTTCCAGTGCATCTCCTCCTTATTCTGTTCAGTGTATACAGTCATCGACTGTTCAGTAATGACTGTCCCTCTATAATCATGTATTTACTTGTTCTACTCCCAAAGGGGAAGCAGATTTACAATTCAGGATTTTGTAATACGGCGACAATGGCGGAGCCAAACTGATCCAATTCAGCGTTTAACTGCTAAAAGCTTCAGCTGTTCGCCTGGAAAATACCACGAGGTCTTATAAATCCATCATTATTTCAAGCACAGATCTCGCCTTTTTATGAGAGCTTAGGAATTAATGAGCAGCCCTGGGTTTGATGAAGGCTTCCCACATCAAAGACGCGTCATAATGGACTAGTGACATTAGTCCGTATGAATGGAGCCCTCGCTGGCGTACGCGTGATCGGGCTGGCGGGAGTCGGTCACTGGGCCCAACGGCCTCGGCTGTGATGGCAGCGCCAGCTCAATCACTCAACATCTGCCCGCAGCGAGGGTCGATTTATGCCATACTGCTGCAGGGGGTGAAATTAGCACCCCAAGGAGGATTTTATATGCCATTAGGATGTCTGAAATGTGTCTATTCTGGGAGGCGGGGCTTAGACATCTGAAATATGCAAAAAATGTGAGGTTATTAACAGTATCCCGGCGACCGGGGGGGGGGGCGCGTCAACGTGTAGCTGCTGCTCGCGGGAGAAGCAGCCCCATGCAGCCCTGGGATGTCTGAGGCCTCTCACTGCCAGTAGACAACAGCAGTGTTTGCCACCACTGCATTTGTGTGGGGGGCCCCCTGTTGGGCACAACCAGTCACTACAATAAATACTAAATACACTCATTCCGTATTTTGGAGATGCTGAAGCAGCATGTTCTGCTTACCAGCTAGCTAGCTACCATCTCCTGGCTTTACCTGGCAGTTATTTATTTAGTTTTTGAAACATCTGAGGGGGG